TACAGGATGCTTGAACACAGGAAGGCACAAAATGAAAGCTTCCTCCAAGAAAATCAAAATATCTCCCTCTCTCCTCTCATCTAAACCAAATAATTGAGAATAACCAACCTGATGATGAAAATGCCAACAAAGGATCTTTACCCGTCATCAGAGCGCTAACTTCGCTCTTAGTCAGGTCATGCAATACAAGCATTAGCAGCACACATCCTGATTTCGCTCCATGAGATTTCCCTTCTCACAATCCTTTCTTTTGAAAGCGGGAAGAGCTGCAGATCCTCCTAGGTCTGATACCCCCATTAGACCAACAATGTTGCAAAATACAGTCTTAGTCTTGCAAGACCTTAACACCTGACCTGCAACACCAGATTGCATCAGGAACTGTGCCCCATCACATGCCCTATCAGCTTGCACTGAAGCCCTGCTCTGACCACCACAAGCCCATTCACAGTCAGTGGCCAGTGCGGACCTTTGGCTTTCACACAAGCAGCTCTTGAACAGGAAGCACATGGGTGTTACCAGTTTATAGGGCAGGTGGAAGCAATGCTGTTGCTGCAATAAGTGAAAACACAGCAGTAACCAGCATCCTGGCTCCTGGTGGGAAAGTGTTTTATTAATCAAAAAATACTTTCCTCCCTCTGGTGTCTTGCAGACCTTTAAACTTGCATCTGCAAAAATCAGAGAAATTCTTCAGTCATTCTCACAACAAAGTTAAAATACAGAAACCATTTTCAATACTTGAGGATTTTTCTTTTCCTAACAAGAGAGAGAACTTCAACCTGATTAGAAATACTCTCAACTCAGCACTGAGGGGTATGGGCAAAGCAGAATTTTTCAGCTCCTTAAGGCAAGGCCGCATTGCCAGTCTAATATAGAGGGAAGAACAGGGGGAGCTGGAGCACCTGATCTTGCTTGGCCAAAAGGTATTGTCATATGCCACCAGCTTTTTCTCATTCTATTCTAGACTATAGAAAGGGAGAGAGGGGTGAAGACCAGAAGTTTGGGGCATCTCATAATCCTAATTATCCCAAAACATGTTGTCATGGAAAGTGAAATACTGACAGAACAGTGACTGGTAGGAGGTTGGGAGTATGACGTGGAGTCAATGAAGTGAAAGTCTTTGAGTGTGTGGAACCAGAACCAAAAGGTATAGAGCATTCTTTCCCTCCACAGCATTCACCAAGAATTTCTAGTTCTACTATTTACATAATTCATTTCAACTCAGAAGAAAATATTTTCATTGATGATGTGTTCTTACTATGAATCATGAGACTATATATAACAGCACACTGCATTGCAGCGGATAACACATTAATCCTTCTTAAGGGACTGTAGAATGGCATTCCTTGCCAGTGGGTCTAGAAAACAAAGCCCTGACCTTCTCCTAGACACTATTTAAAGACAAGGACAGTATATCAGAATTAGAAAGGCCATTGCAAGGTAAGAAGGTTTAGAAATCAATTATGCACAGAAGAGGTTGGGTTGTGTGGTTACAGGCGAGATCTGAAGGAAAACAGAAGTGTTTCTGGCAGGCAGAAGCTGAAGACTCTGTAATAGCAGCATCATCTTATATAAGACACAAAAGGCATGCTCCAAAAGGCAAGAGGAAAGATAAGAAACTTGGAGAGCCTGAGAGAGTGAAATGTTATGTGGGAAACAAATGAGAGATGAAGGTTTAGTATCTGGACAAGAAATCTAATGTTGATACAGTAAAAGATACAAAACTAGTGAAAGGTTCCAAGGTGGGAACTAATATGATCCAGGATTTTGTTTGTAATCTAGTAAATCTTCCTTAGCTGTGATACCTAGCCTTTTTTTCATAGGATAGTGCAGGTGTGTATTTGGGGCACCTTATGGGCTTTGCTTATGGCATTATCATGAATCCACTTCTTCCTGTATAGAGAGTTTCTGAGGCAATTATAACAGCTCCCAACTTTGACCAGCAATTTCAAAGCAACAATTTCTCCTTCCGAAAACAAATGACAGCCTGAGACTAAGAAGAGGAACTGTTTAGTGATTTATAAAGGCAGACCACTTACCACCAATGAAATCTTTATACCATGACACACATTATATAAGTATTAGAGTATAAAAAAAATCCATAGGAATAGAATGTAATAAGTATTGGTATAATTCAACAATAGCACTTCATGTCTTCAGAGAAAGACAGTTTTAAAACAAGATACATTTTTAACAAGGCACAGGGCTTAAAATACCTGAGAAGTAAAACAGTGGTGAATCAAAACAGAAAGCTTCATGTCATCAAAATGTTCATGTCATCAAAATGTTCATGTCATATCTGCTAGCTCCACAAAAAAAAAAAAGGGGGGGGGGGGGGGAAGGAAGAAAGTATGGGACAAAAATTCACCAAAAGACCCCAAGCTTTTGAATACCTCTTTGTGTTAATGACTCCATGAATTCAAATGTGCTCTTATTTTAATGTTGGATAATTATTGTTACGGTAATCAAAACATCATTTAGTCAACCCAGCATGGTGTGTTGAAAATAACGTAAAATAATATTGTAAGCAGATAATTTACCATGATGAAAACTTGCTCTCATTCACAGAAATGAACATTTCTCCACAGCATGTTTGGATGTAACACTGCAACCAAATGGAAAAAGTTCAGTTCGGAAGAAAAGTCTACAGAAAGAGAAACACAAGCCAAAACATACATAATAAGTTCTCTAGAATCTGTTATTTAATATCATTTTGTCCGTTTATCAGATTTCACAACTCACCATTCAGAATATGTACAAACTTGTATCAACACGTGTACTCCCACCAGAAATAATAAAAGGTTTTCCAAGAGCTGGTTGCAAGCCATGCCTGGACCCCCATCTGAGTAATCACCTTTATTATTGGCCAGTTCCTTATCACATTCCTAAAAGTTTGTCACCTTGTAAGCATTTTTACTATGACAGTAAAGTACTTAGAGCATAGTCACATACGGATACAAGTCAAGCACTCCTTACACATCTTACCAGATGGCAGACTGGCCAGCACAGAGGACATGTAAGTCTTTCTGCTAGATAAGTGAAAACATCCACCTAAACTGTTGAAAAGTTTTGATAGAGAAACGCTTTATGCTTGCCTTGTTTCCCAAGCCGCTGTGAGTGAGGAAATAGCAGGGACGCAAACCACGAGTGCAGCTCATTACTGCTGTTACAAGTTTGGGTATTCAAATAAATGCCTGTTCTGGTATGAAAAGAAAGTTACTCTCTGTGTATTAATTGCTCCTCTTATAACATTCATATGAATTCCAATATTCCCAAACCCTGACTGGTTCGTATCAGAAAAGAAAGAAAAAAAAGAGAAGGTCTTTCACAGACACATTAGCCCTTACTGTGAAATCGATCCACTCACCACTGATACACGAAAATATCAGAAAAAGCTACATAGAAAGAATCTGGAAAATAAAATATGTAGCAAAGACTGGGAAATGCCAGACAGCTTCTTTAACAGGTCAGAGGAAGACCTGGTAGTTCAAATAACCAGTTTTGGCTAAGCTCAAGGAAGGAAAAATGCCTGATATGAGTCCTTTGTTTAAATTTAACTAAAATAACTCACCCCCTCAAACTTGTCTGGGTCACTGCAGAGGGCATATCCTTTGGGGGGGTTTGAGTCTGACAATGTTAATTCAAATAGATGAGAGCACCTGCATTTGGGAAACATGCATCATTGCAAGAAAATCAAGAGGAAAATCTACTGTACAGGTGTTTTATATGCATTTTAAAAGATAAAAATTCTCTATCATATAAGACAAAGCATACCCCACACTTAGCAGGATTAGGATTTGTGTGTGTCAGGGTGTATGGTCCTGTGCCTAAGCCAGCTAAATGTTAAAAGCCTGTGACTAAACAGAGAAAAAGAAAGATAAACCTGTAAACTCTATTTTCTTACTGTGAAAGACTCATGTTAAATCATCTGCTTGGGCCAAATAATGCTTGCACAAGTTGACAGATAATGAATTAAGCACCACAAATGGAAGGCGCCAACCTTTGCAGCCAGTTGTGGAAAACAGTGGAAATGAATGAGAGGGGGATTTGTTGCCTCCCACACCAACCACACAGAAGCTCGTCTGTTTTGAGGGTTCATGACATACTTGAGTGCAGGGTGCTCTGTCCACAGCATTGATCACCTGCTGAGAGCTCATACTGAATTAGGTTACATTATAATTGGATTTTCTGAAGGCACCACATTAGCATTTTCCATGATCTCACCCTTATTAGCCAAATCACTAATCAGGAATAGCACACTTACATTGTCTGCTGGTTAAACTATCTGCTGCTATAGCGTCTGCAAGCCAGCTCTGAATTCATGCAGAGATAAAAACTCCTCTCTAACAGAGACTTGGGAGTCTATTCGGCAGCTGATGTTGCAGTCAGACTATAATTTTCAATAGTTCATGAAAAAACAAACTCTTTCCAGGGGCCGCTTCACTCACTGCTTTGCTTGTGTTCTTTCTTAGTCTATATTATAAAGTGAGGAGTGTCATTTCTTTGATCAGTGTAGGCAAAAGCAGCACCGCTGTAAAATATAACAGAAAAATCCTTTCTCATGGACTGTTCCCCATCGTGTCCAAAATCAAATGCTGAATGTATTTAATCCTGTAAGGTTTTTATTTTCATTTGTAGGCCTTTGTATATTGATGGGAATGGAAATACCTGTTCTAAAAGCAAAAATGATGCAGACAGTCTCATAACTGATGACTCCATCTTTGCACAGCTCCAATAGAAGTTTGTGTGGGAACTTCAATTCATATTAACTACTTCTGAGTGATAAGGAAAGTACACAGAACATCTCATGTAGCCTTATGGTGCAAAAATCTCAGTTCCTTCTTTCAGAGGGGATTCCAGCAGGTTCAGGTACCTGTCTCGTAACAGTTACCCTCATATAAGTCTGAAGGGAAGAGACAATCTTGCAAGTAGATTATAAAGTAATGTTTGCTGACCACTCACTCACCACAATTTTCTGGAAAAGTTCCATTGCCTAAATACAATTTAATTTTAAAAGCCAGGTTTCATTCTCAAGTTAGAGGTTACACAGCAATGTTCAGATTCATTACAAGAATCATTTAGAAATACAAAGCCACTTTCACTGAGAGGATAAACCCATTAAATATTTCTACTAAAATTCTTCTGATATAAATAAGAACACACACACAAAAAAAACCTGAACACATTTTTCATGTCATTGTGGATCCAAAACAAAAGGAGAGCTGGGCTTGACTGGAAAAGGGGAGCAGGCACTTTCAACCTGGCCTGCCATCGGTGCTACCTTGCTGATAATCACAAAAACATATTAAAACAGTGAGGTAGATTTCCTTTTTACTAAACAACTAAGAAAAAGGACACAGAATTCAAGATGGTATGTCAACAAATCATTCCCTGGAATCCAATAAAAAAAGACTAATTCACAAACAAAAAAGTATCACAACACTATTATTTGGCTTACAAGCTCTTGAATTCAAACCATATTTGACAGTCTCTGAATCCCCAGCAACAGCCACATATTTTCTCATAAGGGTTTTTAACAGATTCTCATAGACAGCACAAACAGCATCTTCAGAACAAAGGGCAGTAACACTTGCCAGCAGAGTATTACTGGATCCTGAATATCACAAGCCTTTATGATCTGCTTTTCTATTGTCCTTGCAGGGATTTCACCTGTCATAAATAACATGCACTGAAGGGATAAGGAGCTAGTGACAAAAAAAACCAAAACAAAACAGAATAATTAAGCTGCAAGATTAGCTCGCAGCCTTTGGTCTACACTTCTCCAGGTCATAGGCTGTCACTGATGGCCTCCCTTCTCCAAGGATGAATCTGCAAAAGTAAATCAATGCAAATTATTTTGACATGGAGAAACACAACTCTCTTATGATTCATTTCCCTCTATTCCTCATGCATACACTTCCCTCCCCCTTCCCCAAAGCCAGTACTGTACATCATTACAAGTCTGTAATCAATCCAATACAAATGGCAGTGTGAAGAAGCAGAAGAGTAGGGATATCACACAATGCCTATCAACTTCCAGCTAGTCCTGACTGTTGATAAAGATCAAACAGCAGGGTCTAATAACCTGAAGTCCCCATGTAAAATCTTTCTAGACCTCTAAGGAGAGTAGCTGACCTTCAGCAGTGCTTATACATTAGCACTACGTGTGCACAAGAGAGTAGGTAAGTACAACAGAGGGAAAAATTAGGTGGCCGTATCTATAGCTAAGTAGGTGTCTGTGGTTCAAAGATGTGTTTGATAGTAACTTGAGCTAGAAGGAAATATTCTATTGCTAGTGTAACACATACTTCCTGAAGTTTTGAAAGATTCTAAAAATTCTGTAACATCCCTAGTAGCACACATGCAAGTGCACACAGTATTTCACTTACAAGAGAAACATGAAGAGTGAAATATTTCCAGCAGGGTTTTGAATTAGCCAAGGAGATTTGCTCTGCAGCTGCTACAAAGTAACCCCATCATTCACTTCCAAACCCACAGTGCTGATGATATCCAAATGTACATGAAAGAAAACTTGATCCAAAAGATCCACATTTGTATTGTGAATCACTGATTTTGATGACACTTTTTCTTTGCTGGTATTAACAGCATTGGTGTTATTTGTTCAAAAAGCCAAGCAGAGCAACAATTAGCAGACTAGTTCTTTGTGTAAAGTAGATAAATACAGATATTTTTGTGTTCATTCTACTGCATGCTATTTGCCTATGTAACAACAAAGATGGTGGAACAAAACTTCTCTTGCAAGAAACGTGATTCCAAGCTTCACATCTAATGTTGGTATTCATATAAAAATACAATTTGGAAAAGAGAGGACTCTGATATGCAAACACCTCAGGCAGCTACACAGTGTGGATTTTGTTCAATTGTTTTTGTTCCTCTCAAGTCCCAGTGGGACACACCGAGGTCTCCCTGCTTATGCCAAGATGCTTTTGGCTCCTAAAGTTCTTGCCCAGCTGGTACAAATTTGTAGATACTGCAGCACTACAGGCACCATCTGCCAGAGAAGAAAAGCAAACATCAGAGAACACACAGCTCCCAAAACCAAAGAGTTTCTCTCGCCTAGGACAGCGTTAACCATTCAGAAAACTTGGATATTTGCACCATAATCAGGCTTCAGAGCCCAGCACAGAGTACTTTTACACTTAAAACACAAAAAACATGCAAAGGAAGGTGGAAATGGCATAGCATGAATTTTTGCATCACTTCCTTAAATGATCAATGAGGAGCTAAGGATATTGCCAGCTAGCAGACGGATGTTTCATCAAGTCACCAGGAAAGAGAATGATTTAATGAAAACAGCTACCACATCACCTACCACCAGAAGACCACCACTGACAACCCGTTTCAAGCAAGTTCTCTTAAATGCCGATTCTTCCTATGTTTCATGCCCAAAGGAAAAAAATGCCAGTGTGCATGAAGCTGTTTAAAATCTAACAGGTACTGAATGATAAAACCTGAAATGTTGCTTCATAGAAATAAATTTATCAAATCATATGTCTGTTTAAATTATTTTTAATATTCCTTTTCACAAGAGACTTTTCTGCCTAGTACTCTGAAAAATGACAGCATACTCTGTGAGCTTTAGCTCAGGTTGACTTCTAAAAGCAATACCTTTGTAAAAAAGGCAACTTCTCATTTCTGGAGTCAAAAATTAAAGGTGTGCTAATGTTCCTTTTGTTACACGGCAGTAAGAGAAATTAAGTTGTATCAGTAAAAAACTTGAAACTCATCACATTTTCATTCCCAGTGGGGATGGCAAGCTGCTAATTAAGTCTGGCTTGACAAGTTGGGAGCACTGATAATTTCTAATGTAATATATGCACTGAGGACAGGTTAATATCAAAAATGTTTAAAGCCTGGGAGTTTTTCCAGGAAAATTAAGATGTCAGGTGTTTGGGTTTTTTTTCTGTCTGGTTTGCATTGAGGACCTCCACAAACATTTTTCAGTTTTTCATTTCCTCCCCCCCCCCCACCCCGGGCTCCCTACAGATGTCATTATTTTCAGTGTAAAACCCCACACTTCCCCCTCCTCTTCTTCCAATTACCTCTAATTGTAACAACATTAACAGCAAAGTAGGTACCTTGAGGGCAAAAATCTGGAAAGCAGCAGAGTGTGGAAAAAAACAAGAGATGCTGTTATAATGAAAGCAAGTGGACACATTCTGCTGTTTCATGTGCTCATCTGGGCATCCTTAGGGCTTTGCAGGTTTTCCCTAGGCATACCAAGAAGGGTGGTGACCAGCTGCTCGTCTCCCTCACAGCCCTCCAGAGCTACCCCTTGAACTGAGAGGTAGGAGAAAGGCCGCATTTCAGCTTCTCCTTCTGCCTCTTAAGCATATGCCTTTAAAGCATATGCCAGCCTGGCATAACTGGATCCAAAATAAAACCATAGAGTTTAGGACAAGAAAATACGGTATTTCTGACAGAGTACCTGGGGCTCTCAAATACATATACCAAGAATCTCTCTGCCAAGAAAACAAATACACTAAAATTCATTTTGGAAATGAAAAAGGCAACACATGCCAGCAGTTGTGGTATGCAAAATGCTTCTTGCTCCTAGTAGGCTTTGAGCAATAAACCTTTTTTTGCAGAGAATTTTTTATTAAAAATCTGGGTTGAGGGAAAATTTCCAAAATTAATCTTCTTTTCAACTGTCTTTTCAATTGTGCACAGTTGGATAAGGAAGGAAGTCAACACTGCTTGTCAAATAAAGTGACATTAAGCACATTTGCTGGAAATCTATCTGCCTTGCTTCTTAAAAAGAAAACAGGAAACAGAAAAAACACAAACCAAAACAAACAACAAAATCACCAAACCCCCCCCAACCAAGAACAAAAAGATCAGAAACCGGTTCCAGGAATGTTGAGTGACAGAGCATGAAGAGACTTAGGAGCTAATGTCCCTCTGAAGGCAGTGTTGCTGGTCAAACAAGGCTAAGCTAGAGGAATTTAAACAGAGTTTAGGACTAGGCTTTTTGCACAGCAAAGTACCTGGGGAGGGACCACCCTAGAGGCTGGCAGGAAGAAGTATCTTGCTACAGTAATACAGCCTCTCATCTTATCATCTTCTTCCTTAACCTCTACCTGTCTCCGATAGCTTACCTTTCCACTTTGCCTCTCTCTATTGTGATCTTCAAGGAAACACCTTTTCTGTTTTTGGAAGCCTCCTGATTTCCTCTAGTCATGCTTTGCAGACAGGCAGTTGCCCTTTGAAGACTACCTGAGTGGTCTTTCCCTGGCAGCCTGTTCTTCATTGCAGCCCACCTATGGAACATGGCTGGACACAAAATGTTCCTACCCATCTCTTCACCCTGCTGCTTTCAGCTGGAGAGTTTCATGCTTGGGAAAATATGAAGAAATACTTATGACAGACAAGTTGAATTCTAGTATGATTTATCTGAGGTTTTAAGCAGTTTAATAAGAGGTGTAACATGAAACTTTGTGGAAACAAATGGGAAGAAAATGCTAGTAAAGTCAGACCAATAAACCTGAACATGGCCCACACCCTCCTGCTTGCAAACCGCCTGCTCAATATTTTTGGATTCAGTTCAGCAACCAGTGGCGGTGTGGAAAACTGAGCTCTTAATGAGACTGCAGCATGAAAAGCAGGACAGGAACTGGGTTAAACCCTTATCTTCCCGTGGCCATGCAGACATACAGATGACAGGCAACTATATGCTGCCTAGCGTGAAAGCCACCCCAAACTATGGGCATGCCTCTAATCACTTCTGCACTGTGAATATACAAGGGTAGGGAATACACCAACTCACTAAACACATTTTCAAGGACAGATTTTTTTTCTCCCCCATCCAAAATACAATCGGAGAATTGTATTTTACATGGTAAGTAATTCTTCACTGTCCCATGCAACCCCTGGCAGGTCAAAGTGGTCTCCATTCTTACTGATAGAGTGCACTGCAGGCTGAGGTTTTTAACCTATGAAGACTACTGAAACCATTTCTAGGGTCCCAAAGCCAGAGGGGCTTAAACAGTTCTTTGTTAACTTTTAAGTAAACTCTCTAAAGCCAGAGACATGCTTTTAAAAACAAGTTGAGTGGCTTGGGCTCGGGGGGAATCATCAACTGTGGAACATCTCTTTGCCTTTCGGATTTTGGAAGGAAAGGCTAAATGGATAAAAGAAGAGAGGTTTTTTGAGGTGCCTTTTTTTTCTTCATTTTGCCCCCCTATTCCTCTCATCCTTCTTGTATTCTGATGAAGCTACTTCCAGGCTAATTAGAGAGGGCTCAAATCAAAAAGTGCCAGATGCAAACCACCACACTTTGCTCCTCAGACTTGAGCATAAGTGATCATCTTCCAACTACCAAAACGCAGAACTGTGGAAAAACAGTAGACTGAAGTAGAAACTTTAGAAATTAAGATAGATCAAATTTCTGTAGCAGTTAAAAAAAATAAATCAGTGATTATTCTATTTTTGTAGATACAGGCAAAGAGAGGTTTCTTACAGAAAATAGACAAACCAGGCTTCACAGAGACAGCAGTCCTTTAAGACGGCCTTTTTCAGATCACAGGTGCAGCTAAAAAAAGTGGTGTCACTCATAAGACATCATACAGATAGAGTTCCACAAGCAGTAGAAAGCATGAGATTACAGAAGGACCTGGTTACAGAAGGACCTGAAGAACTTAAATCAAATGATACTTTGGCACCTGGGTGCAAATAACTTCCTAACAAAGGAGGGCAGAGAAGGAAGAAAACACAATCTAGATATATCTACACAAAAATACAGAAAAAAAAAATAGTAATTCCTCCTTGGAGTCAATATGCCTTTGCAGTCCCAGTGACGTTATAACAGACTAGTTAGAGTTGACACAGAGGCTCTTACAGATTTCAGATATCTTTAGAATAGGCTTTTTTTGATGGTATATTGTAAAAAAGATCAGTTTCCTGATTCATTTCACTTGTGCTCAGCCCTGAAGTTACCATCTGTATTTTGTAATTATTCTTCAAGAAAAAATAACCAGTGTCAAAGGAAAATTTGTTAAGGAAAATGCAAGGGGTTTCCCTAGGAACATCAATCTACTGAAACAGCATTCCTACAGGAAACTGCCTCATGCTTAAAAGTTGCTGCACTGCTGTTTTGTTTTTCTGTAATGAAGGCCTATCTCAGAAGCGATAAGATTTATTGGCCAGCTTATCACCTAAAGAGGAAATGAAACATGAGAAATGAGACTCTGGAACACTGCTGCACATAGTAGCTCATTTAAACCCACCAATGTAATTAGTACTTGTACAAAACAGAACAAAGAAATTGGAACATCAAGAATACTTTCATCGTGTATTCTGGAGTTTCTATCTTTGAAACCTTTCTCACAATACTTCAATGTGGATTTAATATATGTGACTATATAAAATATATAAACCCAGGCTCGTGCTTTTTAACTGATGGTAGAACTTGGAATTCTTTATGACCAATGGTTAATAAAATAATCTTTGTTTTATCAGCAAAGAGACTTGAAGGTGTTAAAGCAGACAACCTACACAGTGCTGTGATGGGACTCATTGAGAATTCTTTTTTATGGGGACTGAAGAAAAAAGGAAAGGAAAGCCTCCAAGTGTCCTACCCACTGCCCCATTGAGAGGAGGTGTTCAGGTGTTCTAGACAAGGAACAGCAACAGAAAGAGCAGAATTTGAAGAAAAAAAAAAAAGAATTCATATAATAAAGCAGGGTAAAAGAGCTCTCTTCAGATCCCCTAAGTGTGCATTGCCCTGGACCACAGCTGCAGCTGGTGGCCGGACTTGTTTCATTCAGTGTTGTAAACATCCTCCCTGTATTCTCAGGTGCAATAAATCACTTTAAGCGTGAGCAACTATAAAATTAATCTCCTCTCCTGTCTCACAGTCACAGCACTACTTTCCCTACAACCACATCAGAATCCTCCAGTCACCATGTAATTATGGGAAGCTCGTTCCCCATTTCAGCAAGTTATGTTTCCACCCTACCCTCTCTTCAGTGCAAATGTGGACAGCAATAAATAATGTAATAGTTCTTCTGTAGCCATCACCTTCTTCCAGATGTTGCAAAAAAGCTTTTGGTAGAGCACTTTCAAGCATTACTTCATTCACAGCTTTACTTTCAGAGATGCCAACTGACACTCAGTATGGAAGCTCTCAGTATTAGAATTTCCAGAATCATTACTATCAATGAGAAAATGAACATGAGCCAGCAGTGTGCGCTCGCAGCCCAGAAAGCCAACTGTATCCCGGGCTGCATCAAAAGGAGCATGACCAGCAGGTTGAAGGAGGAATTTCTGCCCCTCTCCTCTGCTCTCATGACACCTCACTTGGAGTATTGTGTGCAGTTCTGGTGTCCTCAACATAAAAAGGACATGGAACTGTTGGAATAAGCCCAGAGGAGGCCACGAGGGACTGAAGCACTTCCCATATGAAGACAGACTGAGAAAGTTGGGGCTGTTCATCCTGGAGAAGAGAAGGCTGTGTGGAGACCTCATAGCAGCCTTCCAGTATCTGAAGGGGGCCTATAAGGATGCTGGGGTGGGACTCTTCATTAGGGACTGTAGTGATAGGACAAGGGGTAACGGGTTAAAACTTAAACAGGGGAAGTTTAACTTGAATATAAGGAAGAAGTTCTTTACTGTAAGGGTGGTGAGGCACTGGAATGGGCTGCTCAGGGAAGTTGTGAATGCTCCATCCCTGGTGGTGTTCAAGGCCAGGTTGGACAGAGTCTTGAGTGACATCGTTTAGTGTGAGGTGTCCCTGCTCCTGGCAGGGGGGTTGGAACTAGATGATCTTAAGGTCCTTTCCAACCCTAACTATTCTATGATTCTATGATTCTGTGAGTCCCTGTCATCCCATACCCACTCACACTGTAAAGTGTCAGACACATGAAGCACACGTTCCTGCAGTGCACACCTGCAAACTTGACTGATCCTCCTGCAGCACAGGATGATCACCTGAGATAGTATCTCTACAAAAGGTCCAGAAGTGAGAACAGAACTAACCATGAAACCTTAGGTGCCACAATTCTCAATCACTTTTGACAGAAAAGGGGCATTTTAAGGAAGTTTCTGAAGGAGAAGATCTGGAAGGACAGATTCCTAGACAGAACAATGTCACTTCTTCCTTGTATTCTCTGGCATCCATCTTTTGAGTAATCTAAAACAAGTACTTCAAAACACCCAGGAACTTGGCATGATTTTAAGTCCAGGTACAAATACTAAATACTCCTGGTTTCCAAAAGGTAATTTTCACCAGCACCTTGAAAGCTAATTAACTTTTTCCATTTACGTGCTTTTAGCTTTCAGACTCGGCACCTTGAACTATCAGATCAGACCAAGAATACAAATAGGCATTTTGCCTTTAAGGTGAAATAACATCCTAAAGCCTGAACTTTATTACCAAGGACTTCTAAAATCTGCCCCATCATGCCCCCCCAGTTTCAGCACATCATCAAATTTCATCTAAGCTGGAGCAACAGAAGCTCTGAGGACAACTTTGGGGATATCTTTTCTTTAGGATAGTTACAGGATGTCTAATGGGCAAATGTGTGATCCTATAATGTGTAATAGAGACATTTTACAAATCACAACAAAGCTGAAAGCAGACATGTAGATGGTATTACATTATAAACCTCCACCTGTGTTCCACCTACACCAACCTCAGCTCCCTAATGCAAAGCTGTCACATATACACTCGATAGATTAATAAGAAAATCTACTCTACACCCCTCAAAGACCCCCATTTTAAAAAAGTACTTATAAAATATGTTCTGTACAGCTGTTGTCTTACCATTTGCCTTGCACTGCACATCTGGCGGAAACTGGTCAGTAACATACCACTGATAGTCTGGCTGCACAGAACAATAAAACATTATTACAGCAATATGGACTTCATAGACACTTCAAACAAAATAATAGTGACATGATAAAAATATAATTGTGCTGTGAAGTTTTTTTTGTTAGTCATACAAAAATAGTTTACAAAAAAAGAATCTTATATTTAGCTTTATATTTCCACTGCTCTGAGTCTTTCAGCTTGCTTGGTTTTTTTATGACATGTGGCTTAGATGCTGCACTCATTTGAAATATTGGTGTAAACCTTTCTAGATCCCACAAATCAAAAGAAATGTTAACAGAACCAAATCAGATTTTAAAAGGGCTAAAGAAAAAAGTGCACCAGAAGATACTAGTAGGCATCACATTATCTGTACTAAAGAACCCCTGGAGAAACCTGGTACACATCGACCTGACAGGTGAAGCTGTTCTAGTCTGAGTATGTGTAACATCTGTAACATGTTTCAGTGTGACAGGAATAACCCATTTAATAAAGTTCACTCTCCTTCTCCCTTCCCCACAGGTTAGCATTAGTCTTACTGTAACATTGGCTGTTATCAAATAACTTCTTGAAAATACTGTGGGGTGGGAAAAATTCCTGCCTTATAAAAGGAAATATTGGGAAGGTTATATCCAGGCAAACATAGTTTTGTCTAGGGAAATCTTGGAAAAAAGAATTACTGCATTTTAGTTCATACCACACACTGTGGTAAATGAATAGCAAATTACTAGAGAAAACAGTTTTGGGACCAGACATTTCAGTTGTATTAAACTGTCTATCTAGTTTAAGTAGTATATGCAAACTTCTCAAATTTCACATAATTACTGCTTGAAATTAGTTAAACAGGGAAAACAAGCCCTGTTTTGCAGAAATTGCCCTGATAAAATCCTGAGTGATAACAAGGAGACTCTTACAGATTTCGACGTATAGGGAGGAAATCTCATAGACCTCTAAAGAAGTTTTGCCTAAATTAAGACGGCAGGATGAAGCTCTACATAAAGAAAACAGGTTTACCTTTTCCGTATACTGTCAACTCGTAGTTACACAGCAGTAATTGCTCTCATACTTTTCCTCTGTCAGGAAAAAAGGAGCTATCCTATTTTCACTTAAATTATCCCATCCATGGTATAATTTATTAATTATAACTATAATCCATTATTAACTAATTCTGTGCTTGTTGACAACCAAAATAGGCTGTCATACAAAGCAAGATTGTTTTTCTTTAAGCACAGATAGTTTTTCCACTAATTGCTCAAAATACACTTACTTGCGTTGCTTTTGTTTTGAGTTTCTGTTGAATTTTCTGTTCTCTGATCTATTCATCTCCTTCATAACTATTTACACTACGCAAATTTGAATGAGTTTCAGAAACAAGAGGTGTTTCAAGCCAGATTGAACAAAACACTTCCACTAACAATATAAAAATAATCAAAAGGTGCAAGATATGAAAAGAAAGAAAAAGCAAAAGCACAGACTAAACACACAGGATTACATACGTTAACTCAGGACACATTAAATTCTAACACCTTTCTTCATTGCTAACAAATTGCTCAGGGAGGTACCAAGAGCCCAGAGCAGAAAAGCTGCAGTCACACATACAAAGAACCTCAAAGAAAACCTGGAATGAAACTGGGAGTTACAAAGCAACCAAACTGACCCCAGCACTCCAGCAGGAATGGCAAAGTTGTAAACCCAGCAATCCCTCGAAGAATTAGAAATCCAGATGATAAAAACTGAGGGAGAAGAACCAAAATAATTTGGGACAGTGTCAAATTGCAGTGAAAAATATTCTGCAATACTTCCAACTCTGATAAACAGGGCAATAAGCGCACTCCTGAAGCACAGCTATGACTTGGTTGACCACAGCTTTTCCACTGGCTTTCTCAGTCTGAAAGCCTTATGTATGTGTTGCAAAAATTCAGCTATAATTTCTGATGTGACAGCTTTATTGCCAGAACCAGATCCTGTGTATTTCAAATGACATTCACCATGTTTACATGCCTTCTCACTACATTTGAACAAATGCAGTCCACTTAGATAACTCAAAGCACCTAAAAAGTATCATCCTTTGAAGCAGGATTTTCCCTGAAATATATAAATCCCCCTTACATAAGCTGTCCTAGTGCAAACCTATTCTTCCATGGGATATAGCCTTAGAGGGCAGGGGGGCCCAAGACTTTTGGTTGACATTCAAGGATCATCTGCTCTAAGCTCAGGAGTGTTGCATCCCCACTAGAAGGAAGTGCAGCAGGAGGGCCAGGAGACCTCCTTGGATGGATAAGAAGCTCCTGAGGAAAATTCAAATGAAAAAAGAGGCTTATAAAGAGTGGAAGCAAGGACAGGCAGCCTGGGAAGAGTACAGGGATGTTGTTTGGGAAGTTAGGGACCAGGTTAGGAAAGCTAAAGCCCAGATAGAATTAAACTTGGCTAGGGATATTAAGGATAACAGGAAGGGATTCTACAGGTACATAGCAAATAAAAACCAGAGTAGGGAGTGCGTAGGCCCCCTCAGGAAGCTCTTGGGAGAACTGGGTACACAGGATTTGGAGAAGGCTGAGGTTCTGAATGACTTCTTTGCCTCAGTCTTCACTGGCAAAGGCTCTGACCACACCACCCAAGTCTTGGAAGGCAGACAAAGGGACTGTGAGAATGAAGACCTTGTGCCCACTGTAGGAGAGGATCTGGTTTGAGACCATCTTAAAAATCTGAAAGTGCACAAGTCCATGGGTCCTGATGAAATTCATCTGCGGGTCGTGAAGGAGCTGGCAAATGAAGTTGCTGAGCCACAGGCCATCATGGCAGTCAGGTGAAGATCCCCAACGACTAGAAAAAGGAAATATAACCCCCATTTTCAAGAAGGGAAAAATGGATGACCCAGGGGATTACAGACCAGTCAGTCTCACCTCTGTGCCTGGCAAAATCTTGGAGCAGGTTCAGCAGGTTCTCCTGAAAGGCATGCTAAGGCACATGAAAATCAACAACATGCTTGGTGACAGCTAGCATGGCTTCACTAAGGGGAAATCCTGCCTGATGAATTTGGTGGCCTTCTGTGATGGGGTTACAGAACTGATGGACGGGGGTAGAGCAGTTGATGTCATCTACCTGGACTTGTGCAAAGCATTTGACATTGTCCCACGTGACATCCTTGTCTCTAAATTGGAGAGACATCAATTTGATGGATGGACCACTAGGTGGATAAAGAACTGGCTGGATGGCCGCACACAAAGAGTTGTCATCAATGGCTCAATGTCCAGCTGGAGACCAGTAACAAGTGGTGTCCCTCAGAGATCGGTGTTGGGACTGGTCTTGTTTAACATCTTCATCACTGACATGGACAGTGGGATTGAGTGTGCCCTCAGCAAGTGTGCTGATGATACCAAGCTGTGTGGTTCGGTTGATATGCTGGAGGGAAGGAATGCCATCCAGAGGGACCTGGACACACTTGTGAGGTGGGCTGATGCCAACTTTATGAAGTTTAACCATGACAAGTGTAAGGTCCTACACCTGTGTCAGAGCAATCCCAGGCACAGCTACAGGTTGGACAAAGAAGAGATTCAGAGCAGCCCTGCAGAGAAATACTTGGGGGTGCTGGTCAATGAGAAACTGAATGTGAGCTGGCAGTGTGCACTCACAGCCTAGAAAGCCAACCATATCCCGGGCTGCATCAAAAGGAGCATGACCAGCAGGTCAAAAGAGGTGATCCTGCCCCTTTACTCTGCTCTTGTGAGACCTCACTTGGAGTATTCTGTGCAGTTCTGGTGTCCTCAACATAAAAAGCACATGGAGCTGTTGGAACAAGTCCAGAGAAGGGCCACGAGGATGATCAGGGAACTGAAGCACCTCCTGTATGAAGACAGGCTGAGGAAGTTGGGGCTGTTCAGCCTGGAGAAGAGAAGGTTGCATGGAGACCTCATAGCAGCCTTCCAGTATCTGAAGGGGGCCTATAAGGATGCTGGGGAGGGACTCTTCGTTAGAGACTGTAGTGATAGGATGAGGGGTAACAGGTTAAAACTTAAACAGGGGAGGTTTAGATTGGATATAAGGAGGAAATTCTTTCCTGTTAGGGTGGTGAGGCACTGGAATAGGTTGCCCAGGGAGGTTGTGAATGCTCCATCCCTGGCAGTGTTCAAGACCAGGGTGGACGAGGCCTTGGGTGATATGATATAGCGTGAGGTGTCCCTGCTCCTGGCAGGGGGGTTGGAACTAGATGATCTTAAGGTCCTTTCCAACCCTAACTGTTCTATGATTCTATGATTCTAGGTCTCTTGGATCCCCCGTCTATGTACATGCTTCTCTCCTCAGTATTTCTTCATTTCTTCTCTCCCAATTTCCCCCCTTGCCCACCTCCCTCCCGCTCCCCAGGTTTATGACTTGCTGAAGCTGCAAGGGAACCACTTTGTCACAGTTTTGCTATATATGCTGTTGCCCTGAGAAAGAGGAGGACACCTCCCAAAGAATGAATGCCTTCACCTCTTCTGTTGTAGTCAGGGATAGGCTGATAACAACCAAGGTCTAGCGATGCTCTGTCACATCACTGTTTGTCCCAAGAGTCCCTCCTCTGCACAGTTAGAGCATCCTGCTTCATCTTCTGTAGGAGGAAGTCTGCAGTCACTACAATGATTTATACAACTAGAAAAACACATTCATAAAATGGATACCCCTTGAGAATTCTGAAAAAAAAAAAAATTATTTACTCTATTTTTATTGTGTAGAATGAAATCATTCATTACTGTACAATCAAGTGCAGGATTTTATCCTCCAGCATGTGGCAAGCATTACATTAGAGAGCAAAATCTGGCTCTGCTGTCAAACGTGACAGAAACAAGTATTTTATTCCCATTGAATAAAATTCCCCATTCTCATCACATCCATTTGTGTGTCAATAATGTTAACCCTAACACTGTCCAGGATGACAGACCTAAAATGTAAAATTATCTTTAAAATCTCATGTTTTTAAACAGATTCTTTCATATGGAAACAAAAAGAGTGCACTAAGGACTTGAATTGCTCCAAACAAAGATTAAAAAAAATACTCTTCTCTATAGTGATTGGTATGCAGGCTACAGATGCAAATACTTTGCCTTACACTTTGAAAAACTGCAATGCAAACACTCTAGTTTTACAAGACCAGGATTCTTAGATAATTCACTAAACTTCTGAAAAAAAAAAAGGAACACAATCAGTAACCAATGAAGTTTAGCATTCCCTCTAGATGAAATTCAGCCCCTAACAGAGAGCTGGCAGGAGGTCTCTGAGATTCAGAAGAATCATTCTGCTGCTTTGAATCCTGCAAAAGTCCTTGTTCCGTCTTTTGCAAGGACTTAGTTGCACTTTGTAGACATGTTGTGGCAACAGCATCTTAGACAACACTATGGCTGAACTGGTTCTTCCTTTCAAAAGCTCTATCTAGTGAGTCCACCCGGCACAGTTCTTGGGAGAAAAGGCAAAAATATGCTGTCTGAAATCTGTCTAGGCTTACTTCCAGCCACCCTTACCTGGTGTCTGAGAACTTCAAGTTGGATTCTCATGTCCTCAAGGCTGTTTCTGCCACCCATCTCAGAAGGAGTCCCAGGTACAGGTGTGTCCTGCTTTTTCAACACACCCAGAATGGCCTGAAACGTCAAACAGCAAAATTACTAATCAGACATTCACTACTATATTAAAAAAAAAACAACAAAAACCAAACCCACCAAACCCATTCCTTTTAAATTATTAGAATGCTCTCTAAATAAACACATTAGAGTGAGTCACAAACTTCTGGGTTTTTTCCTTCACTTACAGTTGCTTCAACTATATACATTGAATATAAACAACACAAAATATTTGCATGACTAAGTCCAAATTTCAAAGCACATGGATTACATCTGTGAATTTGAGACAGTTTAAGGGACTGTTCTTTTACTTTTAACTGTAACCATCATTTACCTATGGAAATCATAGCTGCAAATCTCACTCATAAAGACCATCTTTCTGTACAAGTCAGAATTTGGGAAAACAAAGGCAGGTTTCTAAATTCAGCTGAGGCCAAAAAACAAGCAAACAAAAACCCCAAGAAGATTAAAGAAACATTTAAAGATGCCCTGAAATGTAACTACAGTGAAGTCTGACTGAAACATTTTTTTCAGTAAGAGTATAAATTTCTTCAACTGGAACCAAAGGAAACCCAGACTGAGACAAAGTTATGTAGTCTCTACAGCTTGTCACTAGATGGTGTTATGAATACACACATTACATTGGTAATGCACTATTTTTCACTCAAATTCTGCCATTGTTCATTGCAGGTCTCTTTTAATTTCAGCATTATTACATAGAACTCCCTTGGTCTGGAATTGTTTGTAAATTGCTCTTACCCCTCTCTGCCTATAACCACACACTATACACACATACATATTTTTTTTACTCTAGGACAAATACTCACTATTCAGTACTGTTCAATGTCTCTTGCACAAAATGTGGACTCGGCTAACTTCACACATCTTTGAAAGTTCAATTCCTGCTAATGATCCCCAGCTCTCTCTTGTTAGCCACATTGCATTCGTGCCATAAGGGAAGGCGGGAAGATAATTTGGAGTGGGAAGAGGCAGTGGGGACAGTGGCCAAGCAGGAGAACCAGTATTCAAAGTAAACCAAGGATTAGTATTATCCTAAGGCCAACAAAAAAATAATGTATTAAAAAAAAACCAACCCCAAAACATTAGCATTTCCCATGGAGAGCACAGAAAAGGGAGGCCTTTTCTGAGCTACTGTCCCTATGAATTGTGCAAAAGAGAAATTGGTCTAGTAGTGGCCAAGTTTGTATGCCATGTCAATATATGTGTTGAACATAAACATGGGAGGATGAAGATACAGAAAGCTTAATGATTAATTCTCCTTTTGCCCTACTGTTCAATATGTTGTCACTATATTGACTATATTTCTTGCAGCTCATTTTGTAGCGTCATACCATCATATAGATGTATTAGGTATTTGGGAAATTCTTCAGGATTTATTAGTTTCTTTTTTGTTGTTTTTTTTTTTTGGTGGGGGGGATTCTACATCTTAGAATTATGGGAAGAAAAAAAAAAACACAACAAAAAACTCACAGAAAAATCCAGAATATTTGAACTTCTAAAAGTTAACAGTAGCAAAAAATAAGGTGTGGAGTTTTTTAAACCTACATTTGGAAGCAATATTGCAAGACCCTATTTTATCATTTCAAATAAAATACAAAACTGGAGCATGAATAAAGCTGAACTGGTCCCTAAGTTCATAATAAACCCAGAGCAAAGTCTTTAATGACAGGTTGTAAGAAGATTGAGAAATGCTCTGTGTGTGTACGTAAACTTTTGTAATGCTGTTATTAGGTCACTAGCAAATTATTGATGATTATGTCATCGGAGATTTGGTTTCCCATGTATAAAATGGAGACTAAACACTACTAAAGATAATATTCAAAGATGTAATTGGAATATGTTTCTTTCAAAATTCCCATCACTTTGAACTGACAAAAGGTGGGGCTGGTTTAGAATAATTTATGGAAGAAATAAAGATATTATTGTTCCACTGGTTTAAAAAAAAACAAACAACAATGCTGAATAAAATTATGATGAGATACTTGAAATGAAAAGTAAATAAGCTATTTTAAATATTTAACTAAGACTTGAAATTTCAAATTAGGAAATCTAAAGAATGACAATGAACTTCTAAGCACCTTCTAGAACTGGTCCTCTATGCAATTTTTTTTCAGATCATTTGGCTATACCTACTTCACTAAAAGTCAAAGTATAAAAAAGCCCAACCAAACCAACCACTTCCCTAGCCCCTAGAAAATCATACATCAAAGAAGCTGAAAAGAATTGTGTAGAAAAATGCCTGAGGGACAGCTGGATGAATAATTTCAAGAAATAGAAATAAAATGTCTTCAGGGACTGGAAAAAAGATTGAATCCCAATAAAAGCTACCGTTTTTGGTACCTTTCAGATAAAAGTGGTAAGAGAGACAGTCACACTGAACTGTGTGTTGCAAAAGAAATTAAACTATAAAATGCTGATTTTTTTCTCACTATAAAAATGAGCTCAAGAATGAAGGCATTACACAGGAAAGCAAGACTAGAAACAGTATTTCTAATGAGAAGGATAAAAGCAGAGCAGTGTGGCAGTGGCTAATAATAAGGAAGATGTACCAGTGAGAAAGAACTCACAGCACGTTGAGTTAAATTGAGCTTAACTTAATGTGGTGTTAAATAATATTCATTCAGAAGTACTGAGAACTGAAACCTGAAATTGCAAGGCAAGCAGCACAGAGGTTTTCTGATTTTTTCAATATCAGAAATGGAACTGTATGAATGAAAAGTAACTACCTTGGTTTCCAAAGATACAAGAAGGGTAAGTGTTCCATGCACCTAGAAAGCTCTTAATACTCTGGATGACTGGATTAAAGTTTCGTGAAGCCAAAGATAGAAAGGTCAAAGTACCTGAAGTACAAACGTTCACATACTTAGAAACAAGTAGCAGTGTCTTCCATAAACTGAGAGATAAGCAGTTCAAAATGACTGAGGTGAATGACATTCATATTATCAGGCACAGTTGTATTTTAAAAGAACAAAAGAGCTGGGTCAGCTTATCTAAACTGTCCTCCAGTGAAAATTCAATTGCTCTCTGTAGCTATAGGGAAAGAGCAAGTGCCCCTGAGACCAATCGTATTTTTACTAGGGGACAGTTCTGTTTCACAGAAAGGACACATCTGCTTTGCACAAGGAATGAAGGAGATCTGTGTGACACTACTACCACCAGAAAAACAAATGAATATCACCTAGGAAGAAAAATATCAGCCCAACTGAAACAGAAGAAAGCATCAAATGAAAGAAGGGTTACAGTTCCAAAACAGCCTTCCAATACAAGCACAGTAGAAAGAGCTTAAGTATTTTTAAGAAAAAAGTTGATTGATTTCAGAGAATTTATAAGAATTTATATTCACTGAACCTGTGATAGCAGGGGACTAGACTTAAAAGGGTACAGAGGGTCCCTTCCAGTCGTATTTACACCCATGACATGAGATTTGAAGGATGCAAATAAACAGAAAATCAGTAAATTACTCGTGGGAATGTGTGTTACATGAAATTGCTGTTCCATTTCAAAGAATGGTCTATTTACCCATCTGTCTTAGATCCAACCATAAGACAGCAAAATAAAACACTGAAATAAGTTGTTTTACAAACAAGACCTCAAATGAAAGTTATACTGAGGCTTTGAGCAAGTCCTGTCAGTTCATTTCCAAAAGACCTAGAGGTCATATGTTCTGTCTGATGTTTTAATATGGTAACATGACATTTTTGCCTCGACTTTTGTACACCCTCATGTACCACAAAGTTACATAGCAATGGTTACTGCAGTGCATTTCCTCAGGAAGTGTATGTGGTTCACCACGAAATATAAATTATTAGAAAACACCCACTAATCTATGTGATCTTTTGATTTAACAAAGTTACATTTATTACTTTCCTTCAGTTAAAAAAAATAGCAATCCCATTTAGATATTTTATGGCAATCTCCTCAATGAGATATATACACATAATACTTCTGTGTATGTATATAAAAAAGAAGACAGGAGCATGTCTTATGAAGAGAAGCCATTATTCTTAAAAATGGAATATATGTAAAACAACAGATTTTAAACAGTCTGAAATCATTTTTTAATCACAGTGTTTCACTGGATGCATATGAAAGCATCTTTGTGCCATTTCCCTTTTTTTCTAAGGAGGTAGAACATAGAAAGAGCTTAGATATGACACGTAGAGAGGTTTCACAGGAGAAGCCAAGGATTTTTTAACTTTCTTCTTTACAATACAACCCTACTACTTGCCAAGAACAGCATGCACAGGTATTAGCCAAAGTAAGTTCTTGTTTCCCCAGATCCCAAACAGTGATCATGAGCTCACTACCATGAACAGGTTGTTAACTCATGATTGAAAAGATGGGCATCTGGTAGTGTCACTGGTTGACAACTGGGACCCTATATTAAAGGTAAAGTTCCTGGTCAGCAGCTCACCCATATTCATACCTTATTGAGACGACTTACTTCACACTCATAGTGTTCTTTCTTTCTCATTATTGAGGCATTCTTCTGCTTCAGGAGCCTGTTCTCTTCCTTCATTTCATGGAGAGCTTCACTACGGACTTTTGTTTCTTTCTGGAATGCAAAAATACAGAGAGATGCTGCTGAAATGCAGATGGAACCGTTTCTCAAGAGCGATTTTCAGAATATCTGCTGTATGGCAGATATGCTGCATTTTTGTTGTCCCAAACACAGCAGGGAAGGAAGTCAAAGGAATAAGGACCATTAGTAAAGACCATATATGGTAAAGTTTGTTATAATTGTTTTGACCACTCACCTTATGATAAGACAGAGGTAACATACTAGACTAAATCCCTGCTCTCTACAGCCTGCAGTTACACAAAGGCATAAGGAAGCTGGCAGACCAACCGGATCAGTAACAGTTTGCAATGATTATCCCAGACCTGTATTATTCTTATTTACTTACAGTGTTAAGGCCAGGCCTAAGCACTGGTAAAGTCCCACCAGTTCCCACTGTTATACAACACTGAAGATGAAACCAGACCTTAGTATCACATAGTCTGAGGATTTTTCACACTACACAAGAGACTGAGGCAGGTCTCAGTTCACTCAAGGATTACCAAGTTACCAAGGAAGACTTCAAAGTCCACTTTATTTGACCCCATCACAGTTGTTGACCCTTACTAGTGTTTGTGCCTACACTGTTGCCACCCCAGCAAAGTACAGGTGCAGCAGGACTTACACACTAGTCTTTCAAGATGGTATTATAGAAATTTATAGGAGTTACTAGGACAGATCTGGAAGACTTTTGTTCTCTTCTATCACTTTTAGCATGGCTATTTTCATTTTACATTGAAGGGAGCTAAGATCTGAATCAGACCCTGAAGCAAACAGCATTGTATAAACTCTCACAGGGTAATGCATTCCTCACTAGCCCACTTTAGGCAGACTGCCTTAGACAAAAGCTATTCAGACGTACGAAACAGAATGGCCTTTTCTACAAAACAAGAAAGTATTTGAAGTACTCTTCTGCAGCAGCTTTATATGATGGAAAAGAAAAAAAAGCAAACAAAAAGAGATCGAACAATCACATGCACAGGACACCATAGGAATGCTTCTTTTTCTATGTAACAGGCATACCTCTGTGCAGTCAGCTACTAGGCATTTACAGGTTGAGCTCATGAGAAGTTCATGACCATGTGCTAATTTAGTCAGTGAAAAACACACTGCTGCTCGCACATGAGGTACCTTTGGTTTCCTTTGGTCTAAGTTACTTGGAACACTTCATTTTCTCCAAAAACTGGGCAAGATAAGCAGGATATCTCTACTTTAAGAACTCCCCCAAGAGCTAGCTCGAACTGGCATTTGCATGTGCGTTTCAAGATAATAAAGAAAAGCAAAACACTAAAACCCATACAGGCTTTTAGATATGTTCTTCTCTTCAATTTTGCCTTGCTCTTTTCCTAGCTCCTAGCACATATTTTCCTTCTCAGAGGCTGACACTTCCAGGTGCATGGCCTCTTTTATAACTGAAGATTTCCAGTTTGTTCAGGTTTTTGCACCATCTGAATTCTTACATCCTATTGCTTCTTAGCTGACACTGAATCTTAGGTGTTACGGCACTTAGACTTTCCAGTGATAAGGTTGGTCTGATTCCTCTCTATGGGTAGTATTTCATGCTCGGGAGGGGGGGGGGGGGGGGGGGGAGGAATAAATTAAACCTCCAGAAAAGTCAGTTTTCCTCTGTGGGCCACGAAGGACATGGGGACAGACAAAATTCACATTATCATTCTAAGAGACATACCTCTGGGTGCATTAAAAAAAACAAGATAGCTCTGTAAGCCAGCTTCATGTAATCTGTCTCAGGGTTGTTTGGTGCTGCTGTTTTTCCTAAATGGCTCAGCAGAGCATCCAGAGAACTGCCACTGAGTAAACAGATCTAAAAGGTACTGTCAGGCTGCTCAACTAGATAAGCAAGTAGAGAACAAACATTACTTTGCTCTGGCAATTGCCCTGTACAGCCCATTCCAGCTCTGTGGCTACAGCTCTTTGAAGAAGAAAGGGTTATTACCTCTCAAGAAAATAATAATAATAAAAAAAAATATATATATATACACATATATATGTAAAAAATCAAATGCGGGTATGAAGAATGTTAGTTGCTGCTCATTCAACAATCTCTACTTTTAGCACCTACCTTTGAAAAGGTGTATATCTCCTGCATGACAATCAAAAAGTAAAGAAATTCAGAACAAATAGAAGCAATTACTTGATGAGTATATAATTTATTTAAGAAATTGTTAATCTATGGCTGAAGTTCCATGCAAGTAAATCTGTCCCTGTAAGAGATTTTTGGATTATATTGTCATTTAGTTCATTATGTGGTAAAAAACTTGGGGAAGTACTGCTCCTTTTCATAAAAGCAGTAAAAAACTTAGTAATAAGAACAGGAAGATGTTATCTCTCAGTGAATCCACACTCTGAAAAAATACAGACAGTGATTCAGTAAGTGCAAAACAGCATAGTTTGCTTTAAAACATGTAAACAGTCCAACTGGTTGGAAATCAAGTGCTTAGCTAAGACCATACCATAAGTGATAAGCAAGTAAGATGAATGTCCTGCTTATGAAGATAAAAGCTAAGGGCTTTGCATTTGCTTTCCTATATTAGCTAACTTGCATCTTATCTGAGTTTGGAAGCAACATGATTGCCACTTCTTTTCGGGTTTGTTTCATATTATCAAGTGAATAAAGAAGCATGACTTCAGCTGTCAGAGTACCATACAGAAGCCTTTACAAAAGGTTATACGTGTGTGATACCACGAAGGAGAATGAGATTAAGAAACACCACTCTTTGGTGCTTGTAAAACAGTGCATAACATTTTGCATATATGTTGGGCACATATATACCAATCACTCAGGTTGGTGGTTTTACTGTGGTGGGAAATTCAGCTTAGGGATCTAATTTATACATGAATTCTTACACAAAAGCCAATGCCAAAGGAGTCCTGAGAGAGTTGCCCAACCACTCAGGGTGAGGTGAATGCTGTTCTAGAGCAGCAGATCAGCCAAGGCACTTTTAGCTCTAATAACGGCATTAACTACCTCAGTAATATTTACAGGGAGCTGAGATAACTAGCACATGTATAAAAATGTACATTGTAATACCAAAATGTGGTTGTCTGGAGCTGAATTCATTCCTTCAAATATTTATTCCCAAGCGCTTGCTGTAACATCTGTAATGATGCTCCTATTCCGTTTGAAATCACTGTAGTGTTTTCATTCACAAAGATATTCACCCCAAACTGAGCAGCTAGGAAGGAAGTCTCTGGAGTATTCATAAAAATGTGCTCTTTATTCCTCCTCCCCCCACCCTGCCCACAGCTGTCCTCTCCGCCAGTTTCTATGTAAATGACTCTATACATAGTTCGTTGATCAGACAGAAGATCAGTCACCGCCTTGGGTACAGTACTGAAGAACACACAATACCACAATCTCATCATTACAGCTGTGCGACAACCCACGTCTTGTCACTCACGAGAAAGAGGAAAGTCAAGACAGATTCCAACCTCACGAGAAAGAGGAAAGTCAAGACAGATTCCAACACTCTGCACAAATGGGGTGACAGACTGCACCCTCCTACCATTTCCTGCAGTGACTGCTCTCTGCCCAGGGCTTGCAGTCTCTCATCTTCTGGATGCTGTTGGTGCCTCTTTTCCTCCAGTTCAGTGACTTTCTTCTCTGACACATCCAGTCTTGATTTCATTTCAACTAGCTGAAAAGCAAGTAACAGACTATGGCAAGCCAACAAAGGATCCCGAAAGGTACAGCACCTTGAAGTTGCCTTCAAATGCTTTCAGCTCTCAGCAGATGAGCATAAAGGAGTGGATCTGGTTGCATGTAAAGTCTCCCACCACTGACTTACCCCTTCCCACCTCCAAGCTTCACTGCTGTGACTGCAGTGGAAACTCTTACTGATCCTGGGCAAACTCTCTATTAGTGTTAACTCAGTTGGGTCTCTCACTGTTTGGTTGCCAAAGGACAGTTACCATGGGTCTGTCCCTCTGAATGAATTTTCCATTTTGATGTTTCTATTTTCCCTTTTGCAGTTTGGATTCCCTCTGCAGTGGTGCACATCCAAATGATCTAGCCAGAGGCATACACAGTCCTGTATTAAAGAAGGAAGAGCCATTTAAATTCCTCTTCTCTTTGGGAAAAAAAAAAAAAATCCAATAAATGATCCAGATCTCCTTAAAGCTTACTGGAAAATATTAAGAGAGAAAATTTTCCTGATAAGCACATGAGGTCATTCTGCAAACTTCCTTTTCATAGAAAGAAACAGGAGATGGGAAGAGTCAGTCAATGATTTGGTATTCCAAAAAGTTGATTTTTTGAATACTGGGCAAAATTGTAAGTGGCCAGGTTCACCACGCACCTGCAAAAAAAAGTGAAGATAGATACCACACAACCAAGAAGTAAAAAAAAAAAAAAAATAGTCTCTCTGCCTATAGGAGCCAGCATTCATGAAAGATTTATCTGAGCGCTCCCTCATTACAGGGAGCCCCAGTGAACTTCCAGGCTTCATAATCCAACTACAAGTGATGGGACAAGAACCAACAGATCTGTGGTGATGTGGATCAATGATTAAAAAAATCGTGGAAGTCATGAAGATTTCTGCTTTCATGTCCTCCCTAGTCCTGACTATTTTAGGGAAGCCCTACTTTTCTGGCTGCTTTGTCCTACTGAAGATTGTGCACATTAGCTTCACTTTTATGTGATGAAGCCTTTTTAATTTGTGAGCTAAAAGACAAAATATATATGATACCTTCCGCCCTAAGATATTTACTATAGCTATGGCTGGTTGATATTTAAGCACAGAATTAACTATATCCAGCTGGCATACATAACAGCTTTATGTACACTTGGTGCAAAATGGCCCAGATACGGGGCACAGAAGTTGTTAGGTCACTAAAATGAATCACTTTCTAGCCTTTGCATAACAACAGATTAGAGTGACCAGGTAGATACCTTTTGGGGGTAGAAGGGAACTGCTAGGGAAGGTTTTCTTCCTGAGAATGCTATATACAAAAATATTTCTAACACTTCCTTCTACTATTAAACAACATAAAGCATTCAGACAAATCGACTGGAACAAAACCTGAGCCCATAATTGTCAGTTTAGAAAGCGACATGTATGATATCTGTTCAAGCTGTTCCTATTAATCAGGTGGCATTTCAGAGAACAATCAAAACAGTCACTTACTTCTAGTGGGTTTGCTGGGACTTCCATGTCACTCACACCTGCCCATCCGCATCCAAGACGGCCTTGAGCATTTGCTTCACTATGGATCTTTGGAAGAAAAGCAATGAAACAAGATATTTTATGTTCGCTAAATGAGCAGGAAAATTTCATTAAGACCCTGGAGATCCACGAGTGCTGCCTGTGGAAGCAGCCGAGGTTCAGAAATAAGTGGGGGAATTTTGATTTTAACATTTTCCTCCTTCCAGGCTGGGGCTTCCCAGAAGGGTTGAACCATGACAACTGCCTATGACTAATATGCCAGGCAAGGCAGTACTCTGCTTACTGTGCATGTAAACCACAATCGACTGACCAGTTCACCCTGAAAGGAGAGAGGAAGTCGCATGTATAAGGGAAGGAAGGGTATGTTTTTTCTGTAAATATGTAAATAAGAAGACAGGGTTTTCTTTCCCTGTTTCCAGCTGTCAAAAAAAAAAAAAAAAAGCTGGAAAACCATAATTAGAAAATCTATTTACTTTCCCTGAAGAAAAGCTGCACTAAGATGAAGAATGACAGGCAGAATTATTCTTCTCCTAAAGACATCGTGTTTACTGTTCTAGTACTTATCTTATCTAAGCATGGCTCTAGCTTCAAGCTCTTCAAGTCTTTGCTTGAGTACTCAAGGTACCCAACACTTCAAACTTGAGTCTTACTTTCCCATTTGGGAAAAGAGGTTAACCTTAAGCTAATAGGAAAGATTAACAAAGAAGATATGTCCATAGACCGCACTTACAAATAACAAAATAGAAAAGTGCCAACTACTGTCATCTTCACTCTTGGAATTGTGCATAATGACAGATTTGAGAAGGAAGTGTGGAAAAAAAAAAAAAATCCTTATCGTGGAAAGCTCCCTGGGTCTGAAGCTTTTTCAGTGGGGGCAGAGGTTGCTTATTTCCTTCACAAGGAATGGAAGCTAGCCTTTGAAATTTGAAATAAAATAATATAAATTGGTGGGAGTTCTTTTAATTTCCCCAAAAAAAGGATTTAGATAAAGTAAAGTAATCCTGTGAAATGCTGGGATTCAACAGCAGCATTCCAGTTCATAATGTGTGACGAAGCAGCTCCTCATTTGCAAGATTCAGAACCCCCTCTGGAAGAAAACTATTACTTTACGGTATATGCATATGAAATATATCCTCCCTCACCTGATGGGGTATTTTAGTTTTTTCCTGGTTTATGGAGCAGCTGAAAAACTCGCAGTGTACAAAAAGAGAAATTAAAAAACAGCTGATCGGAGCTAGCCTAGCTAGAGCCACAGCCGGCACGCTTCAGCGACGCGAGGGTCAACGGAGATTAGGAAAATCAGAGGGGATAGCGCAGAGACATCGCGATTCCCGACATCTCCCGATCCCCGAAGCCCCAGCAGCCCTTGCGAGAGAGAGGCTGACGTGGCGGGGGGCGTTCCCACGGTGACGGCGACCACTCCCCTGCTGCTTGCCTTGAAAAAGCCTTTGAGAGGGCAGCGACCGGTCGCTGCCCACCGGGCACAGGGAGGAACAAGCAGGTCGTGTAGCTGGTGTCCCAGACTGCGCACCAATATGGTTGCCTCCAGAAAGAGAGCTTGCAGTAAGGTGACTACAGCAACTCAGACAGAGACCCCGTCCCAGACCGTGGCTGTTCAGGTCTCTGGGTGCAGGGAGTGCCAGAGCCTGCTGCTGCCGGGGGAGGGAGGACAGCATTCCACCTGCGTGAGGTGTGAGCAGGTAGAAGATCTGCTTAGCCTGGTGGCAAGACTTAAGGAGGAGGTTGAGACGCTGAGGACCATCAGGGAGTGTGAAAGGGAGATCAACTGGTGGAGTAACTCCCTGGCGGGCCAGTCGAAACGGTTCCAGGGAGATACCCCCCAAAAGGGGAAGGACCCCCTGCCCCCTCACACAGAGGGGGATGGCCCGAGGCAGCCCCTGCCCTGTAGCTGTTGCGCAGAGGTAGGGGACCAAAAAGACGACGAGGGTTGGAAGCGAGTTCCAGTTCGACGTCGTGGGAAACCCTCCCCCCTTCCTGCCCTGCTTCCCCAAGTGTCCCTCCGTAATAGGTTCGAGGCCCTGGATCTTGAAGGAGAGGTAGGTGAGAAGGTGGGGCAAGGCCAGCCCACAAGGCCACATAGGAAAAGGGAGTCGACTTTGCACCTCAAGACTGCCTCTGTTAAGAAAGAAAGAAGGGTCATTGTAGTAGGGGATTCCCTTCTGAGAGGAACAGAGGGCCCGATATGCAGAGTTGACCCTCATCATAGGGAAGTGTGTAGTCTGCCTGGAGCCCGGATCAGGGATATCACCAGGGCGCTCCCCAACCTGGTGCACCCGACAGACTATTACCCGCTGCTGGTCTTCCAGACAGGTGGGGAGGAAGCTGCTTCCCGCAGTCTGAGGGGGATGAAGAAAGACTACAGGGCCTTGGGGCGGATGGTGAAAGAGTCTGGGGCTCAAGTGATCTTCTCCTCTCTCCTTCCATCTTCCACTGATGTGGGAAGGAATGGGAAGATTCAGTTCATGAACAATTGGCTTCGAGACTGGTGCTACAGGCAGGGCTTTGGATTCTTTGATAACGGCTGGTTTTATAGGGCACCAGTCTGGACAATGACAAGTGAGAAAGGTTTGTCTCACAGAGGGAAAAGGATGCTGGGGCACGAATTAGCAGGGCTCATTTGGAGAGCTTTAAACTAGATTCGAAGGGGGATGGGCTTGTAGCTGGGCTTGCCCCAGTGGGGCAGCGCTCCAGAATTAATGAAGACTGGGAGGCCCCCTACAATCCTAGGGTGAAATCGGTGTGCTCAGCTCGCTCCCTGAAATGCCTGTACACCAATGCGCGCAGCATGGGAAATAAGCAGGAGGAGTTGGAAACCTGTGTTAAGTCAGGAGATTATGATCTGGTGGCAATTACAGAGACGTGGTGGGACAGCTCACATGACTGGAATATAGTCATGGAAGGCTATGTCCTTTTCAGGAAAGACAGGCCAGCCAGGCGGGGTGGTGGGGTTGCTCTTTATGTGCGGGAGGAACTACAGTGCACCGAGTTCTGTCCAGGGACAGATGATGAGCGAGTTGAGAGTCTGTGGGTGAGAATTAAGGGGCAGGCTGGCAGGGGGGATACTGTTGTAGGTGTCTGTTACAGACCACCAGATCAGGGTGAGGAAGTTGACGAGGCCTTCTACAGGCAGCTGAGAGCAGCCTCACAGTCACAGGCCGTGGTCGTCGTGGGGGATTTTAACTTCCCTGATGTTTGCTGGAAGGACCACTCGGCAACCCAGCCACAGTCCAGGAGGTTCCTCCAGTGTATGGATGATAACTTCCTCCTGCAAATGGTGGATGAGCCGACCAGGAGAGGAGCGCTGCTGGATCTCATCCTCACTAGCAAGGAGGATCTGGTCGAAGCAGTAAGGGTTGAGGGCTGCCTTGGTTGCAGCGACCACGAGATGGTGGAGTTCAGGATCTTGTGTGGCAGGACTAGTAGAATACCAAGTAGAATTGCAACCCTGGACTTTAGCAGGGCAAACTTTGGCCTTTTCAAGCAATTGCTAGGGGAAATCCCATGGGCAGGGCTGCTTGAAGGTAAAGGGGCCCAAGATAGTTGGTTGACATTCAAGGACTGCTTTTTCCGTGCTCAAGATCGGAGCATCCCGACACGTAGGAAGTCAAGGAAGAGGGCCAAGAGACCTGCGTGGCTAAATAGGGAATTGCTGGGTATGCTCAAGTGGAAGAGGAGAGTTTACAGGTCATGGAAGGAGGGGCTGGCCACTTGGGAGGAATATAAGGCTGCTGCTAGAGGATGTAGGAAGGCAGCTAGGAGGACTAAGGCATCCTTAGAATTAAACCTGGTGAGAAGGGTCAAGGACAGCCAAAAGAGCTTTTTCAAATACATGGTAGACAAAACTAACACCAGAGGCAATGTAGGCCCACTGATGAACGAGATGGGTGCCCTGGTGACAGAAGATAAAGAGATGGCAGAGTTACTGAATGCCTTCTTTGTCTCTGTCTACTCTGCTGCGGGCAGTCCTGAAGAGCCCTGTACCCCTGAGACCTTAGATGAAGTCAGGTCGACGGAGCGGTTTGCCTTAGTCGATGAGGAATGGGTTAGAGACCAGTTGAGCAATCTGGACATCCATAAATCCATGGGTCCAGATGGGATGCACCCGCGGGTGCTGAGGGAACTGGCGGAAGTCATTGCTAGACCACTCTCCATCATCTTTACCAAGTCTTGGGAAACGGGAGAGGTGCCTGAGGACTGGAGGAAAGCAAATGTCACTCCAGTCTTCAAAAAGGGCAAGAAGGAGGACCCGGCTAACTACAGACCGGTCAGCCTCACCTCCATCCCTGGGAAAGTGATGGAACACCTTATCCTTGGTACCATCTTAAGGCATATCAAGGATAAGAAGGTTATGAGGGGCAGTCAACATGGCTTCACCAGGGGGAAATCATGTTTGACCAATCTCTTAGCCTTTTATGAGGAAATAACACGGTGGATGGATGATGGCAGAGCGGTGGATGTGGTCTACCTTGACCTCAGCAAAGCATTTGACACAGTCTCCCACAGCATCCTCACGGCTAAAATGAGGAAGTGTGGACTGGATGATCAGGTAGTGAGGTGGACTGCGAACTGGCTGAAGGAGAGAAGCCAGAGAGTTGTAGTCTATGGGGCTGAGTCTAGTTGGAGGCCTGTAACTAGTGGAGTGCCTCAAGGGTCAGTACTGGGACCGGTATTATTTAATATATTCATCAATGATTTAGATGAGGGAATTGAGTGTACTATCAGCAAGTTTGCTGATGACACTAAGCTGGGAGGAGTGGCTGATACGCCAGAAGGCTGTGCTGCCATCCAGCGAGACCTGGATAGGCTGGAGAGTTGGGCAGGGAGTAACTTGATGAAATATAACAAGGGAAAGTGTAGAGTCCTGCATCTGGGCAGGAACAACCCCAGGTTCCAGTATAGGTTGGGGAACGACCTGTTAGAGAGCAGTGTAGGGGAGAGGGACCTGGGGGTCCTAGTGGACAACAGGATGACCATGAGCCAACACTGTGCCCTTGTGGCTAAGAAGGCCAATGGCATCCTGGGGTGTA